GAGAGAGAGAGAGAGAGAGAGAGAGAGAGAGAGAGAGAGAGAGAGAGAGAGGGAGAGAACAATATGTTTTTTCTTTCCTCGTTGTTTGAATCTGATCTTTAACTTCCCTATTCCAACAATAAGGTGCCATCTACAACAGTAATGCGGTTAGTTCTAAGGGAGATAACAAAGTAAAAATAGAGAACAGACAATTCGGATGTCTTGAATTCTGTCCCCTGATCCAGCATCGACATTATCGGTGCCCGTTGTTAGTCTCTGTTCAAATTCAAACCAATATTTGCTTTACCATAAACATCTGATGCCAAATGTTCCACAGAAATAATAACGAGAATTGCAATGGCTAAGGCTAGTTTCAGTAAAATTAGCCCAATCCTGAAAAATAGAAACATCTCAATGAACACCAAAATGAAAGTCTGAAATGCTATGTTTGATCAACCCTTCTACATAGATGTGAATGCTGGACAATCACTAAAGACAGTAGAAATAAAATAGAAGCAACACAAATGTGGTTTCTTAGGAGACTCCTAAGAGTATCGTGGAAGGAAAAGAAATCAAATAAGGTAGTGCTTGATGAAACCCACGTGGGAAGCTCAATGTTAAAAACAATCAGGAAACGACAAATGCAGTTTTTGGGTCACCTGAATAGACATATGGGTCTTGAACATCTAGCTCTCTCTGGCAAAATTGAGGGCAAGCGAGGCAGGGGTAAGCCCAGAACAACATACTAAGGGAACCTAAACAAATGGGTAACAGGGAAAGATCAGGGAAACGTAGCTTTTTTTTAGAGCATCTGAGCAAAGGAATGAATGGAAAACCATGATCGCCGATGTCTGTCGCAGATCTGGCACTGGATGATGATGATGATGATGATGAAGCAGAGACTAGGCCTAGGCTAATCCTTTGTTGTGCTTTTGATGTTAGTTCGGCGTAGAACTCTCTAAACGATAGTGAGGTTTTCATTTAAAATTTTACTTCAGCATTACGTCCCCTAAATGTAACAAGCAAAATTAGCTTGTTCCAAAATGCCGGGTGACATGGTGAAAGCAAATGAGGACTATTCGAGTGACACAGAAGAATTCTTGCCAAACTTTGATCCAACAAGGTATTTTTTTGAATCACCAAAGCTTTCTGGCTTGTGTCGGGCAATGCAGACCAAAATACCGGCGTCCGTAAAGATCATGCGCTCCGCCATCACACAAAGAAGGCCTGACCTCGCTTCCGGTATGGCGAGGAGAATTCAGACAAAGATGGTACATGTACATAACAAGATAGTTCACGCAGCCAAAAACAAAAAAGTGTCCGCGGAAGTCCGCTCATTGCTTCAGGTGGCGCTGCATTCTTTGTTTCGAAGCTCTCTTTCGTATCTCCAGAAGAAGAATAGGAATAGCACCCCCTAGCGTGCACAGATCGACTGCTGTTCATCAGCTGTTCGGGTTCGTTCAGTGCGGAGTTTTAGGGGTTTTTAAAAATTATTTTAATGACCTCTCGATTCTCATTCTAAAGTCAAATTAAACGAAGAAAAAGTCGCCTCTTCTACCGGAGAGGTTTTTTTGTCAGCGTATCCTTTAAAAAATGCATTCTTTCGAAATTTGAATTCTAATTTATTCAAAAACTTGTTAGTTTCACTTTGATTTTTTTCTCACATTTAGGGTAACTCTGCAAAGTCCGCACATTTGCGAAGAGGGCGCCACCGAATTATGAGGACATTTTTTTAATTGGCTCAAAGAGAGAAGTGACCCATCTTGTTTTAGACGAACATCTCGGTCTTTCTGCTGGGACGTTGTATCCGTCTCAATTCGGTTTGGCCATGTCACGCATACTCAAAGCCGGCCTCGTAAATGATCTAAATTTTATCGATGAATGCTTAAAAACACATAGACATTAAAACAAAAAATCCTAGAGTGACAAGCCAGCTGAATGGATATATATATAGAATCAAGGGTACGGCTGGCAGGGCACGATTCCTGCGCGCCTCTTGAAAGGGGGCACTGGGGGGAACGGGTGGGGGGGGGGGGGCAAATGAAGCCGCTATCCCGACTCGCCCATTCAACAGCCAAACATGTGTTCGTTTCAAACAGAAAATGGCAAGATGATTGGTGATTTCAGTACTTGTCATGTTCGCTATTTCTTTGTATTAATTCACACCATTTGACCCATCCCAACTTTCTCTCTCATACCCTTTTCTCCTTGTCCTCTCACATGTTGTCCTTCATTTCTAGCTTTTGTTAACCAAACGTTTGTTTAAAATGTTGGAGGATGCTGGTGGACCTTTCGCTCGATCTACTACGAGTTTACCTCGTCACCGATCCACATACAAGGACTGACAGGATTAAACTCACATTGGGATGTGGTGTGTGTGTGTGTGTGTGTGTGTGTGTGTGTGTGTGTGTGTGTGTGTGTGTGTGTGTGTGTGTGTGTGTGTGTGTGTGTGTGTGTGTGTGTGTGTGTGTGTGTGTGTGTGTGTACGTGTTGTGTGTGCCCCAGTGTTTGTATATGTGTGTGCAAAAAAAAAGATTATGCATAGTATCTATAACGCAATTCGGCTTTGTTCCTGACAAGGGCAGACCAGTAGTGCTATGGAAAGATGTATTGTAGCACGGAAATATCTGTATTTATGCTTCATAGATTATTCAAAGGTGTACAATAAAGTTAGACATAATGAGCTATTTAAAATACTGGAAAAGACGTAGATGGAAAAGATCTAAGAATTATCAGGAATTTGTACTGGGACCAAAAAGCTGATGTATGAATTAAATGAGAATACTGTGGGTTTAAGCAGATTAGAAGAGGAGTGAGGCAAGGATGTGTTACGTCTCCATACCTCTTTAACGTGTACAGTAAAACATTCCTTAGAAACATAGAAGAATTTCCAGATCTCAAAGTGAATGGAGAAAATATTAATAACATCAGATGTGCCGACGACACAGTTTCAATAGCAGACTCAGAAAAGGACCTTCAATTGCTTCTAGACACTGTTGTAACAGAAAGTGAATGTAAAGGATTAGTGTTGAATGTAAAGAAAACAGAAGGCATGATAATATCAAAAAAGCAGCAAATCATATTTGTAATCTCAGTAGCAAAGGTGAATAGATCAAACGAGTCCAGCAGTTTAAATATCTAGGATATATAATAACATATCATGCCAAATGTTCCACAAAAATTAAACGGAAAGTTACAATGGCTAAGGCTGATTTCAATAGCCCAATCCTGAAAAATAGAAACATCTCAATGATTACCAAAATGAAAGTTCTGAAATGCTATCTATGGTCAACCCTTCTATATGGCTATGAATGCTGGACAATCTCTAAAGACAGAAAAAAATGAAATAGAAGCTATACAGAAATGCGGTTTCTTAGGAGACTGCTAAAATGAGGTAGTGCTTGATGAAGACCACGTGGGACGCTCACTGTTAAAAACAATCAGGAAAAAGCAAATGCAGTTTTTGGGACAGACATAAGGGTCTAGAACGTCTAATTTTCACGGGCAAAATTGAAGGCAAACGAGGCTGGGGTTGGCCCAGAGCAACCTACTTAGGGACCCTAAACAAATGCGTAAGGAAAAAAATCTGGGAAACTTAGCTTTTTTTAGAGCATCCGAGAAAAGGATTGAATGGAGAACCATGATCGCCGATGTCTGTCGCAGATCTGGCACTGGATGATGATGATGATGATGATGATGATGATGATGATGATGATGATGATGATGATGATGATGATGATGATGATGATGATGATGATGATTGCAGCTTCAGG